ATAGCAGCGAATACGAAAACACTGACCTCAATCAATCCCCCTACTGAAACTTTCGAAGGCCGTAGAACGTGGGGTAAAATGAAAACAGAGAAGCGAAACATACAGGCAGATAGAAGAGCAGCCGGTTTTTTCATGCCTGCCGTTTTTAAAAAAAATCCGCAGTTTTTGAGAAAAATTGAAACTTCTGCAAAAATCCAAAGCGTCGCTAAAAAAAACGAAAAACAACAAAAACCCTTACATTTTCAAAATACATGTTTTTTTTTCAAACTGGAACTAACACTAGCCAAAAACGAAGCAGCAACATATGCAATTAAGTTCCTTATGCTTAAACAAGCTTAAATATAATTAAATTGAAATACACCAAAAGTGCCACCAAACGATCACTTTTATTTGCCACTTAGTTTGAAAAAAATCTTCGTAATAATACACTACGCTCGGCTTTAAGCATAAAAAGAAAGATCATCAATTTTCTCTCGTCCATAAATCAGATTATTGGACAATCCTATTGAAATTATTGTCTTCAGGAAGTGATAAAAGCTTAAATTGTTCAACGAATTCCAACTGATAGTCGAATGTTCATCCATATTTTAAGAATTACCAAAAATAATCCAACTGCGTACAGGATCAATTTGCTAAGGTGGAAACCAAATAGGAACATTGAAATAAGCCATATCTTTTCGTTTTAGTCAAAATTTTCAACATGTAACAATAGCTGAAGAACAAATGTTTTAATCAACAACTGTTGAACCTCAAACATCTGTCTTGTCGTTTGTTTGATTGTTAGCCCCAAACAAAAATCTGCTAAAAACCAAGCATATTTTTCAGTATGTTTAAAAACGGTCCAACGGTTCAACATCAAATTCCATTACAGCATGCTTCGTTTTACAACAAAATTGTTTTCTGTTTTTCCTGTGATCTATTTTCGGTTAGGGCGACAACTGGTTGATAAATGGTAGTCTTTTCTAGAAGGGACAGTTTCTAGAGCACTACTATTTGTACTTACAAACACCAACGACAGCCTTTGATCACATACAATTTTATTTCCAACAATGAAAAAACAAAAAAAAACGCATAACACCTTATCTAAAAACCAAAGTTGTATGATAACACCTCAAGCTGCTTTAAAATGGTATTGTTTTGGTAGCTTTTTAGATGCTCAACGAATCATAATCAGATTTTATTATGTTTAGACAATTTAGTAGCGCACTCGGTGGAGTAGAGACCTTTGAAAACAAAAGAAATGATAAACTGACATTCATATCGATATAACTAGCATAAACTGAAAATTTTTGATTATTAAAAAAAACTAAGCAAAAAAGAAAACAAACTCAAAATCAGACGTGGTAATTTTACAATTTTGTAAAGTTTCAATTATAGTAAAAACTGTTTAAATTGGAAAAAACACATGCTTCAAAAGTAAACCAATAAAAACCCTACCAGTTGAAAAAAATTGTGAGTAAAAAAACGGAAACTGAACCGACAGAAACTAAGACAAAAACCACAAACCCAATAAAAAATAATAATTACAACCTAAAACAGGTTTGAACTAATTACTACTTAAATCGTATTATTTCATTCGAATTTTCAAAAATTGAGCATGTCAGAAGATCTTCTAGAAATGAAGGTCCTATAAAAAGGGGGAAATCTTCTAGAAGTGATCCTGTGGACAAAATTGTTTACGAGAAGAAGTCTAGTACCCGATTGCAATACCCTTGCTTATCGCAAAGGTAGAAATTGCAATCCAGCTTGTTTTTACTTTTTTCGTTGTGAGATAGCAGCGAATAACAATACGTTAACTTCAATCGAAAAATGTTGGTCCTAAAATTGATATTTTGGAGATACCATGTTAAAGTTGCTTTAGAAATCTAACTGCTACTCGCAAAACAAATTATTTGAAAACAAAACATTTCCTACGAGAAATGTTTATTAACAAATTCAAGGCTAACAAATCGATCTGGGTGATCAAACTTCACTAAAACTTTTATTCACAGAACTTAACACGTGAGGTCAAGTGAAGTGTCAGTCAGATCACTTTCGATAGACGGCAAAAAAACCCGTTGGCAACGAACTTCTATAGTTGACTTTTAGATGAAGTTATACTTAGCAGAGAAACAAACGTCAAAAACAATCAGAAATACGGTACCCGATTATTTCACAACTAAACTTTGTTAAATAATAGAGAAAAAGAAGTTATCATCACGCCTTCACATTTGAAAGCACTCACGGCATCCATTAAAACAGAACTTGGTTATACAGATTCTCCTTTAGAGTAAATGCAAGCAGCAAAGACCTTTATTCTTCCGACTCTCGGAGAACGTAGGGAATATTTATGCGTGAGGTGGTTTTTTCATTTTGTCAATTTTCGACTTTTTAACTAACCTTTTTTGACAGAACTTTTTATACCATCTGAAAGATAGTTTTTGAGCTTAAATTAAAAAAAATTTCCAACTTACAAAAGATATACTAACTTGGCCAATTTGGTATAATAAACACAAAAAAAAATTAAGTTGACCTTAAGTGCAGTTGGAACAATCGGGGCTTCGCCCTGATATACAATCGTTGTTCAAACCAAAAAAAAATGTTTGAAATGTCGAAATTTAGTTTACGAAGGGTTGAGACAATAAAAATGATTCCTCAAAAGAAATACTTCTGGTTAAAACAATGTCTCCCTTATTCTGCAAACCTTAAGTGTGGCCACGTTTGGTGCGGACTTTTGTTCTTTTTGAATTGTGGCAAACCGCTATTTTGTTTAATATATTCGTGATGGGTTAAATTGTCCACAGTGGCTCTTAACATTGTTCTTCAGGGCTCCTTAGATTGCTTGTCCTGTACTTGAAGAACGGTTTGCTTATCGTGTCTCCGTTTTGTACACTGCTTGAGATAACTTTTCGTTTGCACCTAGTGAGTCCCGGGTTTCAACTCTGCATCACCAGCTTATATCATTTTGAAAATCAATTACGCTGATTTTCTGAACTGTTGGGTAAAAACCGCACGGAGCTGTGTCGGTCTGAACGATGGCGAGATTTTTAGGCCATTAATTTTTTGCTCACCTCTGGTTGGCTGGTCCTTTGCTACTCCGTTGACTGCCGGAAGTTCGCAACCCAACCCAGATGTTTCTAACGACTAATAATTTCTCTTCCGGTAGTTACTGGGTATTTGTGGTCGCACTGCACGCTCGCGTACGTTCCGACTTGTATGGCATGGTGGCCATATACATAAGAAAGCTAGGACGGATTCAATTCCCCCTTCACTTGTATTAAGTCGATCCTAAACTGTCAAACCGCCTTCTCGATGTTCAAAAAGCTGTTGAAATTTTCCATTTGCGCTCGCATCACTGCTTAAAGAACACCAATAAATGTCTGTCTTTTATTTTAGGGAACTGATCGTGTGCGAAAGAGACATCAAAATCCTCAGCCTAAATTCCTTCCGTAACAAAAAAACTGGCATGAGTTTACAGAGGCGAAGCTGCACTTCGCAAAGACAAGGGAAAAAACTAAGAAGTAGCGTTAAAAAAGGTCAAAACATAGTCAAGAGACAGCTCAAAATGTGTGAAAGAAAAAGAAAACCGAAAAAAAAGTTAATTGCACATTTTCAACTTCTGAATCTCAAAGAAAAAACCTATCTCGGCGAAGCTCTTTGATTTTCAAACACTGTTTGTGATTGTTTTTTTTCGTGAACTTATCCCATTTCGAGAACAAACTGGATCAATTATTTCGATGGGAATTCAGAAAATTGAAGTCTATTTTTGTATTAATTTTAAATGAAATCAGATTAAGACAAACCGCAAAAAAACAAATTCGAGCATGAAAATTGAGATTTTCTTGTTACAAAAAATCATAAAAACGTAAAGCCACACTAGTTTTGTAAAATATATGCCCTCTACGGAAATTGAACTTCAGTCTTTGGACATTCGTGTCTTCTGACTCTCAAATGAACCTCAGACATGTACAAAAATTGCATGTAATAATTTGGAATGTAAGAAGTTAAAGGCAACCACACTAATTTTTCATAAAATGAGTTGGAAAATAAGAAACCAAATTATTTACAAAATAGTATTTCGGAAAAAATCTCGTGTTTTCATTTTTGTATGAAACAAATAGCTCGACACTGAAGGGCTCCAAATAATAGAAAGGCTAAAATAACTTTTTGAAGAAAAACGAAATTTTCAACCTCATTTCTTTCTCAAATTGTGGTCGGAAAAAAATATATAGGCCTACCCACTACACAGCTAACCTTTACAGCAGCGTACTTTTTCACAGAGCTTTTACACCTACCTTATATACAGTTTTACCCAGAGGCGAAGCAATCAGCTATAGTGAAAAAAAAAATTTTGTGTCCTGTAATCGGAGCAACTGTGTTGTATTCCGGAACTACACAATTTTTCCCAAAAAATCTTTGCATAAAATTTTAACTTGTTTTATTATTCAACCTAAACCACTTCCAGATTCCTTACTACTTAGCCTAGAGACAACGCCGTCGCCTTTTTAATTTTTCCTAAGAAAAAAATCAGCAAAACATATATAAGAGTCTTCACTACGTTCATTACTCTTAAAAATAGGAAATTTACCAACTAACATGCGTCATTTTACAATTTATAGAGCGGACGCATTTTAGAATCCGAAAAAGTTCATTAAAACATCCGACCCTGCCCAGGTTCGAACCCTCTTATTTGCTGCTGGTCTCCTTCCCTACCTCTACGCTACAGAACCATGATACCTTGAAGCTAAAGGGCTATTTGTCATATAATAGTCAGTGTTAATAGCTGGATCAAAATGAACACTTTCAAATGAACACATTTTGTCGCAACAATTGCATCGCAACAATATTTGCGACTCAGGTTGGGAAAAAAGAAAGTTCATACTATAACTAACATGCCAACGCGTAATCAAGATAAACGGTTGAAAATGAAATTTTAACGCGATCATTCTGCCCACTTTTACGGCGACTAACCAGATACTGTTTTTTTGTTCCGTGATACTTTCGTATATGATTTAGAAAGATTTAATTTAAATATTTAAATTCATATCTCGAATCAACAACTTTTTTCTTTAGCCCTCGCACTTCTCTTATGGATGGAAAGCAACAACATCAACAACTTATGTACAGTGACAACATCCTTTGCAGTGGTGGATGTTTGTTCACGGGCGGTGGGTGGGTTTTTAGGGTTAGGTTAGTTTTCAGCAGACTTCGGGGTAGCTCCGGTTGAATACAGGGATAATGGGATGGCTAATTCATAGCCTTTTATCGAAAATTATTAGACATTCTTTAGCATTTAAGAATGGCCATCTAAAGCAGCAGCAACGTTTATCCTTAAGTTTTTCCTCAACAAACTAAAACACGGCTTAACTGAAAGGATCGGATTAAATAGATTTTTGTTGAGAAAAATAAACAATGTCAAAATTTAAAACTTCTGTCATAATATGCCACTTTTAGCAAGTAAAATGCAGTTAACTGAGGATATAAGATCCGTATGGTTAAAGTTTATGTTTCAGTTAAGTATGATAAAATAGTAAATCATAGCATGTATTGTAATAGCGTCACTTAAGCTGCTGAAAATCCAATAGCACCACCTGTAGGAAATAACAGCAACAAAAACATCACAAACAAGGATAAATTTAAACAAAGCCTCAAAATGAAGAGAGGACGACAAAACCAAAATGCATAGCAATTAGCGTATCGAAAGTTAATTAGACAGGTCACTATTAAATCTGTCATCCATTATAATCAGCAGGTGCTCAAGTGGCTCTTCGTCTAGTCAGTTGAATGTTCAAATTCTCAATTCTCTGTTCTGTTGTCCAAAAAATGTAAAGAGGTTATGTTTTCCGTCCCATACCGTCTTTTGTCTCAGCTTCTTCTGCCCTAGTTATCACTGTCGCTTTCCTCGTCGAGGTACTCGAAAAATGATTTCGTCTCGTAAACACACGTGCCCTTTCCTCTCACGTATGCTGGTTCCTTGGTGCTTTTCCACTCTTGGAAGGCTTCACTCGTAATTATAAAATTGTCGTAAAGGCATTTGAAAATACAGTCCAGTACGCCTGAAACAACACCAGCTTATTAATCAGTTCATATTATGATTTGCAGGCTAGTTAATAAATCCGCATCATACTTGTACGATACAAATTTTACTATTGGAACTCAATGGTGCGCTATTGGAATCAGTGATTGGAACTAAACGCACCATTGAGGAACTCCAGCTAACAGGAAGGAAACATTATGCACAACACAACTAAGTCACGTCACGAATTTTTACAGTACGATACCAGAAAAAAAAACAATTTGAGAAGCACTTGCACAGGTCACGTCACGATTAAGTAAGCGAACATTTTGCACCTTGATTACTACAGGCGGGACTAAAGCGGTAAGCGGTGGGTGAGTGTGATCCATTAATGTGTTCACCTGGAGGATGCTGTAAATCTGTGACCAGAAACTGTACAGATAACAGACAGTGAAACATTTTCGTCTGATCTTTGTTTATATATCTCTCCAAAATATTTTTCCTCTCTGTGAATAGCGTCTCGTTAAACGTCATTGGATTTCCCTTCACCACACAAGATTTACACACTACTCGGGTTAGGAGCGCAATGAACTCGGGTGTGTCAATGTGGTCTCTTAGATCTCGCTGGATCATGTCGAAGATTTCAGGCACTGTCGATTTGGTAGTGGCTTTCTGAGTTAGATCCATTAGGTGCGATTCAAATGAGGTCAGGTAATCTGAAGCGCCTGTTCCTGACTTGGATTGCGACGACTGTGATGATTTGCCAGAGGACTCTAGGAAAGCTAGATTTCGATCTCTGAGGAATTCTGAGATTGACTCGTTTGACACATGATCCGGTACAAATTGTCTCCAATCCAACTTCGCCAATTTCCACGCATTGCTCACGAATTCTTCATTCTGAAACGAACAAAATGATTTCTATCATATCAATATTCAACGTCAAGGTAGATGGTTTAACAGGGATTATCAAACAAACTTAAGACAGTCACCTTTTTGCAAAAGTTATGGTTTCCAGTTCTTCGATTTGTTGTAAAATAAAATGAACTTACCTTTTGCTCGACTGTCCTGAGTGTGATTTGTGCGAGAACATCCTTGGCCTTGTCATATTCCACCAGTCCACTCAGCATCTTAGGCATGTGGGAGAAGGACAGCTGTCCAATCATCGAGGGGGCAATCAGCACTCCATAATAGTCCCATATGCGAGGAATGTCACACGAGAGATCGATCGCGTTTGCAAACGACTCTGTGATGCTAGAAAACAAACTCTTTCCAATGAAATCATAAGTAAGAAGCCAATAATACAACAATATTGAGAGGCACCACATAGTCCAGCTATAAATGGCAGGAAGTCTTTGCAAAATTTTCAGCTTCAATGCTCTGTGGCTCACTGTATGCACTTAGTATTTTGAGTGCTTGGGGGAGTTCAACTGCAACTTACCCTTCGGCTAAATCTTGAACTGTGATGGTGCCAGACTTGACAAACTCGAACAGCAGTTTTCCAGTGCCCTCTCTGTGTTTGTCTTTCTTCTCCAGAACATAATTGATGCAGTGCTTCACCATCTGAGCTCGCGAGTCTTCTGGTATCTCTTCGTTCACCACTTCAATCTCCTCATTGGCGTCTCCTAAATCGATGTACTCATCGATTACGCCTCTCGCTTTGGTCTGTAGCTGCTCTTCCGTCAGAGACGCAATCTTCGATTTGACCGGCTGTCGTTTGTCTGACCCTACTAAAACAAATTATCAATTCATTCTAAATTATTCATGGCCTTGGGCGTTCCTTGAGTCATCTACAGACAGTTACGAAATAATCGGATAAACAATCAAATAATAAAGATTTTATCATATCTTTAGCAATTTTTGAACTCGCCTGGTTGCTTTCCACCGAACTCACCGAGCCTAAGCCTAGTTGCTTTCCACTCTTAGCACAGATTGTTGACCAAAATAATTTTATGAAATAAAACAAAAAAGACTTTTCTAGGATCAACCGTATAATCTCAATTTGGTCACAATTTTTATGTGGGATTGCAATAGAATGCTGTTAATAACCTCAACTAACGTATTTTAAATCAATTTTCGCTAAATAAATTATGATTTTTCTATAAATCTAAGGCATGCTCAAAGTAATTTCCTGAAAAATCCATATTTTCTCCCCCTAAATCAATTGGGTGGGGGAGATAATTGTACGGTTGATCCCTTTTCTAAATCGCGAATTTTTTTTCAACCTACTGTTATTGGTCCGACCGGCGCACAGACAATTCGGCCAAAGACAATTCAGCCAATTTGAAATTCAGCCAGAAATATAAAGACAATTCAGCCTGAGACAATTCAGCCAGTTTTACAAAACGCTAGATTCGGAAGAAAAAAATTGGAATTGGAGTTATTTCTCGGTTTAAGGTCGCCGGTGGGCGCGCTACGCGCGCGTCGCCGCGATAACCGGCTCTAAATTTCGTATAGAGTCCTACCCTTTGGTGGCAAGCTCGCAACACGTTGGCGCGACTGCGGCGGTCACAATTATTGGCTGAATTGTCTTTGGCTGAATTGTCTGCATAATTTTGGCTGAATTGTCTGTGGCCGAATTGTCTGGACGCGGGTCCGACCATTTGAAAAATAGAGAAACTTTGTATTCGGGTGTCTTCTAGTTTTTTTTAATCGTTTTCCACGCAAAAGCAGATTCCACAAACAATAATCGGAATGGTTTGAGTTATATATCAGATTAAAGACCTTTCAGTCGTAATTCGAACGAGTTAAAATTTTGAAAAAATTTCCCCGGTGTCGAGAAAAACCAGATTGAAAATTTGATTTTTGAACTAATTTCAAGCTAATAAGTTAAAAGCTTATTTATCCTTAATTTAAGCCGTTTTACTTGCCTTAAATAATTGTTGGAGAATTTTAGCTCCAATTTGAGAATCAAAAACTTCAAAATGCACAAAAAAAATTCTGCAAAAAAAATTTTTTTACGATTTTTGTTTTCGTTTTCTAATCATTTTTTGTACAAATTGGACTATATTACGATGTTTTCCGACTATGAATATCGAATATGCTTAATTTCCATTCGTTCAGATGATTTTATCACAACGCGCAAAAAAAAAGACCGTAATTTGAAAAAACCAGTATTTTTAAGACTATGGTCGGTCGTAACATTCTGTGTTACTTGCACAGCAACGGGCTATCCTGATTTACCTTAAGTAAAGAGTGACTGAAATAGGTCAAACCTACAATAAGCAAGAATAACACAGAGGCTGAGTTTCGCTTCGCAAACACTTGCGAGAACACGACAAAAAGCAGCTTTATAAAGGGCACAATAAGAAAAATTCGAATTAATAAATAATTCGAATTAAAAATTCGTCTACCTCTGAGATTCGCACCTGCGACCTAGAGATTAAGAGACTCACACAGTAGCCACTAATCCACGGAAGCCTAATGAGAACCATTAACCACTCCTTCAAAATAAAGCTGAGAACAGATGCTATGCTATTTCCAATGCTACAGTGAAATTTCCAATAAAGTGAACACTTTTATTTTCGAGTTAGGTTAGAAAAAAAGAAGGTTCGTAATAAAACATTACGCAGATCGATAGTGTTAAAACCGACCCTAAGCCTAGTTGCTTTCCACTCTTCGAGAGTGGTCGGAACAATAAACATCACATGCCTGAAGATGATGGTCCAGACAATGGCTGAGAAGGATATATGGATCTAGCTTTGTCTGATCTGTCCCGACTGTCCCTTCCACTTCCACTTCCCCCAGACCCCGTATGTCCCTGGAACTTAAACGACGATCCACCTGTACTCCACTTGCTGCCTCCTGAATTGGCTGGCGACATATTTCTGGATCCGGCGTTGTTTCTTCCCGCTCCAGAAATGCTCTGGACACTTCTGATTGCATCTTCTCTACTCTGTTGTCGCTCTTGTTCGGTCGGTCCGCGGTTACCATTTCTCAGATCGACACTGCTCGACCTGTTGGAGTCTGGTGCCTGTTCGTCGTCCATGTCTAGACCTACGTATCTGTTTGTAGGTTTGGAATTGCCCTGACTTGACGTGGGGCCAGCCTGGCTAGTTCGGTTAGCTCCAACTCCAAGGCTGCCTTTGCTCCATTTGCTTTGAATTCCCCCTCCCAATTTAAAATCGCCCTGAAAAATTTTCCTTCTAGCAAACTGTTCACCGACGGATTTTTCCTAGCATAACTAACCTATCTCACATTCTTATAATTCAAAAGTACCATTACTCATGTTAATTGCAATTGATATTAATTCACTTCGATTGTGTTTCGTTTTAACTCCTTATTTGAGACCATCTATATTGTCAGGTCGGTACCTGTGCATATTTGAACACTGCGTTGAATCACCAGAAGCTTGGTTTCAAAATATGCTTACAAGTCCTCCGCTGCTCTTGACGCTTGTGATTTTGCTGATGTTTGCTCTCACATCAGTCACTGGCCTCGTGCTAGCAGTCTGTACTTGCCACTCCTGTTGTGACTGATGCCCGGAATTGCTCATCCTGTTGCCACCTCCGGAGTATGAGCTCTGGTATTTTCTGTCATTATAGTTGCCCTGCATCTGTCGTGAAGATTGCTTCAGCTCTTGTGCTTTCTGTTTCATTGCAAAGTCTTCCATCTGTGCATCCTTGTGGATCTGGTCGATGGTTTTGGGGGCGGTGTCTTTTCGGGACTCCCATTTATTCTGTAAATCAATACATGCTTTACTCACGCGATATCTCAATTCAAAATATGCTCCTCTGATCCTGCATATCCAGTTATATATATGGGATGTGACCACTCAATTATCATGGAACTTAAGCAGAACTAAGCCAAATACACTTGTCTGAGCATAAGCGAAAACAAATACCTGTCTAAGTTCGATGACATCCTGAAGCATGAATCTGATTCTAGACGACGTCTGTTTTTGGGCTACCATATGTCCGATTCTCTTGAAGTACTGGTCCATCAGGTTTCGCCCGGCATCGTGGTCCATCTTGCGTCCGATGGTTGTGAGCAATTTGCACAGACACTCGAGACGGTCCTCGTCCTTCGTTTTCAGAAGCGACTCAATGCATGAATGCATAATCTTTTCGGTCAAGAAGTCGAGCTTGAACAATTCTCCGATGAAGCGATTGTTTCCTAGATACTTCTTCTTGGACTTGCGCATCTCTATTTCAAGGTTTTCCAGTTTTTCACGCTTTTCTTTCTCGGTTTGCTAAAACAGATAAATTATTTGTTTATCATCGAACTTCAAAGCTACGGTGCAATCCCCACGTTTTCGTCCGTTTCCGGCGAGCGGATCGAAGTGAAAATCTAGACCAAGTATCGCAGTGAGTGTTACCTCTTTGTTGTTCTCGATGACAATTTTCTTGGCATCATACTCCTTTTCATAGTCTTTCTCCCTCTGGAATTCATTCTGGCATCTGTTCAGCAGATACCTTCTGAAGTGTCTAACCACTGGATCGTCTTCTGATTCTCCATGACTCTGGTTTTCTGCGGGATTCTGGTTCAACTGCGCAGCTTGTCTCTGAAATTCAGAAAAGTAGTAAATGGTATTTCTATTAAAATTCCAACAAACAGTTGTTGAAAATAGAAGAAAACAAGATGGTTGTTATTAAGGTGGAGCAACAAAAATTGATGAGCTTTGTCGTCACATGCAAGTTTAACAACCTACTCCTTTTCTTTCAATGATAATACTGCAAATCTTCGGAGAATGATATGTTAACGCATCTATGATTCTTGTTGTCATATTATATCTCTCTCTTCAGTACGTCAATTGCTGAAATTTCAAGGTTACAGGTTTTTAATTGGCTCTCTCATTCCTGAAGTGCAGTTTACAGCCACCAACATGCAATAGACTATCTATGCCAAACAAAGTTGATTATCTGAGTTTAATTAGAAGGGGGATTAACTTCTAGTTCTGCAATGCACTTTCCATTTGGCATGCTCTTACCGATTTGTCATCCTGCTGCTATTAAAATAAGAAGAAGACGTGAGATTAGTTTTTGAACAAATTACCATTTCGTCATTTGATTAAATCCTGAACACATTAATTTGAAGCATGAAATATAAATTGTTCACATTCTGGTACAACTTTGTTTTCCAGCCATTGACAATGAACAAAAGTGACGCAATGCTAGCAAATAGGATACAATAAAAGAAAACGAATAATCGTTTCTTAAGTCTTATCAACTCCATGTCTCCGTTTCATCACTTCAAATTTCGTTTTCATTTCGATTCAGCTCCATTGCGGTATCCTTATCAAACATGTGGTTTGTAACCATTTATAACTCAATATTCTTTAAGCAATTGCACTAATACAATGCAATCGTTTTAAGGTTCATCTTGCGCAAAACAGAACTCTATAATATCTTCTGGTTTGAAACTTACGTTTGATCTGATCGAGAGCACTGTTTTGCACATATTTGCATATGCTTCCGCAAAGTTGGATTCCATGCACGCTTTGTCAAACAGAATATCGATAACATCACTGACTAATTCGTCCGAGTCAATATCCAGCAGTGCCATTTCTTTAGAAAGCGTCGAAAAACTCTGAGGGGTCAGTTTGTTCAGGATCGCTCTGGTCTGTCGTTTGATGTGATCGTGCTTTATCTCCATGTCCGATTTATTGCTCGTATCTTGCTTCCATTTCGCTTTCCATGCACTCTCGGATGTTTCCAGGGTCTGCTGCTGCTCTCTGAGATTCGTCTTGAACTCTCTGGGCTGTTGATTCATCTGGTTGTTTCTGTCTCCTCGGAAGCTCTTATTTCCACCGCCCATGTTACCGGTCTGATAATTGTTTTTGCCTCTTGAATTGGTTGGCCCACCCTAAAAAACCAAATGTCTTTAAAAATAACACAAAAATTGAGGCGAGGATGTTCTTAATGAACAAATTTTTGCTAATATATACAAAGAACTATCGGCAAGAACTTTCAGAACAAAATTCTCGAATGCCCACTAGAATAGGCTTTTTAGCACGAGAAAATAAGCACGGGAAGTATGGCACGAAACTGAAGCAATGACTTACCCCGACATTTTTGCCTCTGAGGAATGCGGGTGCGAAGTTGTCATGCCCCATCCCTCCTCCTCTTCCGTCATGTCCCATCGAACCGTGTCCCCCGTAGCCTCCCCCATACTGCCTGTCTCCGTACGACTCTCTGAAGTCACTGGCAGTGTTCACATTCTGGTCGAGAGGTCGCAGGAATGTGGGGTTGTGTGTAACTATGTCTTTGAACACGTTCTCTTCTTTGAAATCTGCTTTACGCAAGGAGGCGTTCTTTTTCTGCATACTGAGTAGGAAGTCTCTGTCGTATTTCTTTGTCTTTGTCAGCTCCTTTGACTTATCCTCTTCTGAAGCAAACCGATTTTCCTCATTATTACATTCAGGTCTTGCTCATATTACAAATTGGTCATTGCTCATATCATTTTCGGATAATTTCTACACCAAGACACAAGTTATGGATGCTAAAAGTGGTTTCAAAATTCAGAACCTTTCTTAATGAAATTCTTTCTGAAATGGGCTCAAGCAAATTTTATTGATTGCATGAGCAAAACTATTTACAACACCACTTACGAAACGCAAATTTTATATTTAACAAGCTGGCTCTTGAGCTACATGAAAAAACTAGCAAATTCATTTGTTCTATCGAAGTAAGTAAATTAGTATACATTTCGTTTGCGTTGTCACAAATTCAGCTCAAAATTGGAAATTCGTCTAAAATAGCTGACCTGGTGTCTCATCTGGCACAGGCTTGTCTTCCCACGAAGTCTCCACATCCTTGCCATTGCCACTTCCCGCTGGAGATGTAACTGACGACGAACTCTTGCTTTTGTTCACATTTCCTTCAGCACCCCCTGCTGCCGTCTGACCGTTGCTGTTGCTGCTGCTCGACCCGCCCTCTAGAGCAAGGCTGCTGGGTTTGCTGTGTGTGCCATTCTGCTCTGCAGCGGGGACTGCAACAGTCGTGGCAGCTGACGAAGCGGCGGCAGAGGAGGACTGCGTTTGCTTCGAGTCGCTCTCCTCGAATGCACTTAGCAGGCTGCTTTCTTGTTTTCGGTCAAATTCTTTTTCCTTCTTTTTCTTTTTGTTGCCTTTTCCTTTGACGTTCTGGGCTGAAACGTACGTAATAGGTTAAGCTTGCTAAAATAATATCCTATTTCCCCAAATTTGCAATCCATACGATGAACGGCAATTAAAAATTAGCCTCTTATATAGCTGTTTGACAAAATTAGTGTTAACTTCAAGCAAGAATTTTGCAGTTATTTAACAGAAGTTTGGTATGTGCAGCAAAATTTGAACGAAACTTTACTTACGTTTCTCCTGTCGATCTCTTACCATATGCAAAATATCTGAGTTATAATGAAGCATTGAATTTATGTTTAGATTTGTGTTGGCAATGTAATCTGCAGTACTACTATTAGTTGTTGGTTCTACTTTCTGTACGATATGCGTTTTGATATGTTTAAGGGTTTCCTGGTAAATAGTTTGTTCAATAGTAAGTCTTTCAATATTATAAGTCAAAGTATATATGTTTTGACCTGGTGTCGCGCCTCGTAATTTTATGGACTCTGAATCTAGTTTAAGACTGTGCCGATTTGTCAGACAATTTCTAGCAATAGGGATACTTCCAGTGGTTTCGAAGCGTTCAATGGTTGATATGGGTATACTTATTCAATACTGGTTGCAATCCGCATTCAATTAAAACAATTAAACTCATTTGCATGAGTTAAATAATTAGCAGGACGCAGTACATGCCTCAATTGCTAATCACTTCCAAAACGGGAAGCTCTAATTTAAGAATCTCCATAAAAGATCAGACAACAGAAAATAAAATCTGGCAGTTTTCACATTTGTCCCAATAGAGAAAAATTGAAAGAAGATACAATCCTAATGATGCTCAAAGCAATGCAATTATGAACAAGACGATTAAGTATTCAAAATCGGAACAAAGCCAAATCTTAATGGAACAGAAAATTAAAGAATTAAAACAGATACCATTACTTTTTGGTTTCTCTAAAACATAATCATAGTGCACAATAAGGGACTTTGAAGAGATTAAGTTCACGACAACATAACATCTGGCGCGCAGTTCAAAGTTGAAAAATGATTGCAACTTTTGAAAACGTGGTACAATTCAGAGTGCAACCAAGTTCCGAAAATTTCCCCCTCAGATCTCATAATCGAAATCATGTTACCATTTGCCTGGGTTTGGCTTAAAAACACGTGCTACAATTACATTCATTTCAAACAGCTCAAAAACTTTCGAACAGGCGAATGGTATATAAGGTCTCATATAAAGATGTCATCATAGGGGAAAAGGAAACAAAACTGTTAATGCTGCAAAAGATGTTTTTGTGGTTGTTTAACCATCACAGAAAATCCAAATATTCATTTGCGATAGTTAGGCTTTTCCTCTCCCTCCCCCCATCTCAATTAAGCATCCTTTTTAGGAATAACGAGAGAGGGCTCTTTTTCCTTCCCCCCCCCCCCACCTCACTCAAACATGAAATTAATGGTCTAACGAGTGGTTTTACGAGGTTAATCATGAAGACCAAATATGTTTGTCATGGCCGAATTAGTCTGCATGTCAATTTTCATGACAATCGGACAAAGTGATTAGTAATTTCAAATATTAAAATTAGCAGGTGGGGGGGGGGGGGGAGGAAAAAGAGCCCGAGAGAGGTATAAGGAGGGGTTTTACAATGTTAAAAATTAAGACTTATTGTGTTTGACATGTCCTAGTCAAACTGCATGCCAATTTTTGCAACAATCGGACAATGTGGGAAGAGTGGGAAAGGATAGTTTGACCAATAGACCCTTTTCTTATACCAAATAGTGCTTTTTTCCTAGGCCCAAAAGATGATCTCAATTTTATCAAAAAATGCTCAAAGCGAAATTGCATGTTTCATTGGCGATCTCATGGCACATAAGATCATTCACGGTGTGGCTTTCCGTCTGATTTGAATCACAAACAAACCTGATTCTTCAGATGTAACTGCTGCTGCTGCTGCTGCTTGCTTTAATGCGGCTGCTTCTTTAGCCTTGGCCACCGAATGACTCTCAAACGGAGGCGGTTTCTTCTCACTTGCATTAGAAGAAGTAGAAACCTTCCTTGCTCCCTCCTTTTCCACCTCTTTCTCCTTCTCTGCCTCTTTCTCCTTCTCTGCTTCTTTCTCCTTCACATTTTGACCTTTGCCCTCGGAAGTTTCCTTCGAAGACAGAGGAGTCGCCACTTCCGCAGTCGTCGACACTTGTTTTGTCGACTCCGACGTGTTGCTTCTACCGTCCTCTGTAGCCGCTACAGGAGTGATTTGACTGGCCAGCGTTGAGTTTTCGACGTGTGTCTTCTCCGCTTCCGCTGCGGGTGTTGAGGTCGGCGAAGTTTTCAGTATGATAGTTTTGTTGTCTGTCTCCAATACCACTTCCTGTGACACTTTACTTATGTCAAATTCATAAACTTTGACCTCTTGAGTCTGGCAAGAGCCCGCACCTCCCGCCTTTTCTGTGATTGTTTTCACAGTGGGACTCGGGGCCACTTCATTGTTCTGAGCTGCGGCAGCTACCTTTGCAGCATCTTTGTCCTTGCCCACAGATTCCTGACTATTGTCTGATCGTGGCGAGTCTTTCTTGGTTTCGGGGACGAACTCAGGAACCTTGTCCAGATCGAATGTAGAGAAATCATGATGATGCTGTGAGCTATCCTTGTCTGTATTTGAGGCGTCCGAGTTATTCAGAGATGGGCTGCTTTGTTGCTTGTCATCACTAGAGTATCCATTCTGTGTGATTTTGGTGGATCCGTTTTCGGCGACGATGTCCGTATTGGAATCGGATGGTTTTGATTTAATCTCCACTGATTTGTGAGGTCTCGCATTTCCACTAGCTGTTTTAGCATCTGAGATTGCGATTCCCGGTTTCGGGTCCGTATTGGTCTAAAATAAAACAATTTTCAACGAAGACTGAATTTCGTCAACTTTATAAATTCTCACATTTTTTTCACATTTAACATGATTATCTCAGCTTTTCTTTGATGAGACTCTGAAAAATTAGCAGAAATTATTTAAACTCAATTTCATAATTAGCCCACGCTTGGTTCTTTTGCCGTTTCCAAGTTTTGTCCACGTAGTCTAATTATCATGAAAATTGACAAGTGGTTTGGTTTCGCAATTACAGATATATTTGGTATCGATATACAACTTCGCAAAAATTAATTGTTATACTCTAAACTCATGTTTTTGAATAAAAACCGGCATGAGGTGGGGAAAACGGTTAAAGAACCCTGCCCTCCCCTCCCCTCCAAAAAATTCCGTTGGAAAGAAAATGCAGGCCGAGATTTAACATTCAAAGCAGATAGAGTTTAACACGTGCTATAACTGCACGTAACTTTTCTAACCTATCACAATGTACGAAAAAAAAAACGTGTTACAGGTGTGGGTGAAAACCAAGACGAAAACTAAGAACTTTTACCATACTCCGAGATGATCTTACTCAGTTCCGAACTATTCGCGCAAACTTTAAAAACGAAAAATACGTTAAACATTGGTGAAGGCAGCTTACGAATAGCTGTCGGTAGACACATGAACAAACATTGACGTAAGATATGTTCACAAAAGCGAATTCATTCGACTGCAAATCATGCTTCGGAATAACGAGCTGCTTCAAGTCATGTTCGGATTGACAATAAAGCTGTTTGCCGTCAGCACACAGATGAACCATCAGTCGACCAATGAAGCATAATTAACAACAACACCACAAGCTCATTTCTGCTGTAGCTTCAATGATAACTTGATAACAAAATTCGATGTCAAAACTGAATCGCGACCATTAAAATTTTTTAACGAGCACGTTCTCAAAAAAATTTGCCGCGGATTTGAGACCTCAAATAAAGCAAGAGCAATGTTCGCCTTCAAACCTCAACACAATGAAGAAACGCTATATTGCATTCACTTGAACTGCGCGAGAAGCAATGTGCGCAAATCAAAAAATCGAAAACTGTTGAAATGAATGAAGAACTTACTGGTCAATGGATGTTCTGTTACCATACTCAATCCTGGAAGCACTCTAAGAGAACATACTTACACTCCCCCACTTTATTTTTGAACTAAACCTGTTCAAAACTGTTAAAAATTCGCTTCAAAGGGAAAAAATTAACCTAATCAATTTTTAAACACCTTCAAGACCATGAAACATAATCGAAGTTGGACGGATTCTTTAGATCCATCAATTTTACATAACTTTCCTCAAGTCCAAGTTGATAAATTTTTTTGTTACAAGACTGCTCTATATTACAAACGCTCTACTTATTAAAGTTTCGATGAGCTTCTAGTGCGGAGGAGCTATGGCAGAGCTCGAATCCACGACTTTTATTTACCCCTCAGATCTCATAATCAAAATCATGCAACACTCTGCCTGGAGACAAAAAAAAACAATTGCAAAACCATTTTAATTCACTTATTATTTTTTCATTGAATTTTAACAGGCAGAGGGTAGTTTAATCTCATTTTACGTTGTCATCACTGGGGTAAAACCTTGTGAACCTACACATATACTCCTCTACTACTGAGAAAGTTCGGAGACAGAGGCAAGGCGGAGCTTCACGCACCTTGAGAAGCAGAAGTTTATCAGGAAGAATGTTCCGATCAAAATCATTTAAGACCCTCTTATTTCTATTTCAACACTCAATAAGTATAGTACAAAAAATTGCCACCGCAAAAATTAATGGGTCTCTCCCATAATAGCCCCTCAAGTAAAAACAAAACAAATAAACATGCACAGTGAAATTCAATTAGCATATCGTTATATTTCTGCATAACTAGTAACTCTGCAGCGCTAAATTCAGCACTAATAAAGCATAGCCAACTGATTGTTGGAAAATAGTGATGAACGCAAGTAAACTGAAAAAAAACGACTGGCCTTAAAGCTCTTTGAATTTGTAAAACAATTTATGATGAACTTTTTTGCTAAAATTAACCCAATTTGAGGAAACTGGATCAAAAGGTGAAACTTACTTCGCTCTGGGAAATCTGACAATTATTTTCCATTTTCGAACTTAGAAGTCGATCACGTTTTTCGTGACCTTTGCACTTTTGTTGATCGATAGTGGAGTTTGCCCTCCTTTTAAAAATGGAAATGCACTGAACTTAACAAGAAATAACAAGTCAAACCGCGACAAATCAAAGTTGAGCATGAACAAATTTTACGATTTTTTCCTGAAAAAAAAACAAAAAAATCAGCAAGACCAATATAAGAGTTTTCACTAATTTCATTACTCTTGCAACCATGGATGCGCTTTTGTATGAAAGCACTAACGAAATAAAACAGCAATTTTTTCAAGGTCAATTGAAAATAATTGACGAACTGGAGAGGCTATAATTGTTTTGCTACTAGGCTGGAGGGGCTATAATGGGAAAGACATCAAAAAAGTAAACAATGATATGTTTCGTTCGTTCGGCTAGGAGCAGATCCAAATGAAAACGTAGAAAAAAAGTATATTCGATAGTAATACAAAGAGTACAATACAAAGAGTTCACTACGTTCATTACTCTTGCAACCATGGATGCGCTTTTGTATGAAAGCACTAACGAAAGAAAACAGCAATTTTTTCAAGGTCAATTGAAAATTGACGAACTGGAGAGGCTATAATTGTTTTGCTACTAGGCTGGAGGGGCTATAATGGGAAAGACATCAAAAAAGTAAACAATGATATGTTTCGTTCGTTCGGCTAGGAGCAGATCCAAATGAAAACGTAGAAAAAAAGTATATTCGATAGTAATACAAAGAGTACAATACAAAGAGTTCACTACGTTCATTACTCTTGCAACCATGGATGCGCTTTTGTATGAAAGCACTAACGAAAGAAAACAGCAATTTTTTCAAGGTCAATTGAAAATTGACGAACTGGAGAGGCTATAATTGTTTTGCTACTAGGCTGGAGGGGCTATAATGGGAAAGACATCAAAAAAGTAAACAATGATATGTTTCGTTCGTTCGGCTAGGAGCAGATCCAAATGAAAACGTAGAAAAAAGTATTTTCGATAGTAATACAAAGAGTACAATACAAAGAGTTCACTACGTTCATTACTCTTGCAACCATGGATGCGCTTTTGTATGAAAGCACCAACGAAAGAAAACAGCAATTTTTTCAAGGTCAATTGAAAATTGACGAACTGGAGAGGCTATAATTGTTTTGCTACTAGGCTGGAGGGGCTACAATGGGAAAGACATCAAAAAAATTAAACAATGATATGTTTCGTTCGTTCGGCTAGGAGCAGATCCAAATGAAAACGTAGAAAAAAAGTATATTCGATAGTAATACAAAGAGTACAATACAAAGAGTTCACTACGTTCATTACTCTTGCAACCATGGATGCGCTTTTGTATGAAAGCACTAACGAAAGAAAACAGCAATTTTTTCAAGGTCAATTGAAAATTGACGAACTGGAGAGGCTATAATTGTTTTGCTACTAGGCTGGAGGGGCTAGAATGGGAAAGACACCAAAAAAGTACAAACTATGATGTGTTTCGTTCGTTCGGCTAGTAGCAGATCCAAATCAAAGCGTAGAAAAAAAATATTCGATAGTAATACAAAGAGTACAATACGCATATTAGACAACAACTTTTTCAAAAAATTGATGGAAGAACAAAATTTTTTTTGAATGTACTTTTTTATCAAGTTTTCTGCAGTTTTTTTTTTAATTTCTCAATTGTCGAGAGGGCGCTAAAAGCTACAAAACTAATATTACTAACTAAAAGTTAAGTTTTCATGACTTATTTCCGTATTTTATGCCTGTTTGCTGGCTTTTTTGCTCGAAATTGGACAAAAGTTTCAAACCGGTTGTTCTCTACACAGTGAATTTTTGTTGGAATTATTTTTTAAAACTCGACTCATGACTGCAAGAGCTGTAATATGGTGTATCATTCGACCCCCTGCAATGATTGTGGCACCTGATTTTTCGTGAAAAAAAAAACAAAAAACTAAAACACGTTATTCCTGCCCACTTCAGTGGTCGGAACAAAAACTCGTCGTCATAAAGTGAACTCTGCATGGTGAACTAATTAACTATTTTCGCACATAAGCGAAGCGGTGATTTGCACCAGTTTTAGTACAGCACAACCATAGCATGTCAAAGTAGTCACCGGATAATGAGAAAAAAGTCGAATAACTGAAAACATAGCCAATAGAGAGTTGGAAAAGAGTCATCAACGCAAGCACACTGAAAAACAACTGAACTCCATCTTTCAAATTTCAAAGAATATATATGGCCTTCGAAAGCTCTTCGAGTTTCACGAGCAATTTTTGATTGACACTTTTTTGATCAAATTCACCTAATTTGAGAAAACTGGATCAATAGGTAAGTTTTTAATTCCGCTAAGAAATCTGAAAACTAAACTCCTTTTTCGAAACTAGAAGTCGATCAAGTTTTTTTTACGTTAACACATTCGCTATTAGATAAGGGGTTTTGCCTTTCAGATTTCGAATAGAACCAGTAATGAAAAAGCAGGCATGCTCAAAACTGTTTGCTGTGCGCGAAATCACGGACTTGTCTCAAAATAATTCAGTTTTTCTGTTAGACAATTCTCTAACCTGAAATAAACTTCCGATTTGATAACGCTCGCTAGCGTCAAGCGTAAACATATTTATTCGTCATACTTTAAATGGTAATATCACGCATTAAGCCAGAAAACGCACACACTTAACACGCATTTAGTCATAAGAAAACGTCAAAACATAATGAGGTAAGTAGAACAGAGGCTAGTTTTTTTTTACAGTCAAGAAGATAGCCAACAGAAAGTTGCACAAGTGCCAGTGAAAAAAAAACAAAAAAATATTGAGGATTTTTCAACATTCTAACAAGATGTACATCACTCTAAAGCTCTTTAAATTTAAAGAAAATTTTACGATCTATAACTTTCTCCATTAAAATTACCCAATTAGTTTCAACTGGGTCAATAGGCCAGTTTTTAATTTCGCTGGACAATCTAAAATTGAAATCGAAATGAAGCATTTTCGTGCCACCAGAACTTTGGTAGTTGGAGAGAGTAATTTGCCTTCCTATTCATAAATGAATTGAAAACAAAACCAAAAAACAAACCTCAAAAAAAAAACATAGCCAACAGAAAATTGTAAAGCCAATGAACGCAAGTGAACAGAAAAAAAATAGTTAGCCTTGAAGCTCTTTGAATTTTCTATAACAAATGATGATTTGTCTTGAAGCTCTTTCAATTTCTAGAACAAATGATGTTTCACGAGCAATTTTTGATTGACACTTTTTTGATCAAATTCACCTAATTTGAGAAAACTGGATCAATAGGTAAGTTTTTAATTCCGCTAAGAAATCTGAAAACTAAACTCCTTTTTCGAAACTAGAAGTCGATCAAGTTTTTTTTACGTTAACACATTCGCTATTAGATAAGGGGTTTTGCCTTTCAGATTTCGAATAGAACCAGTAATGAAAAAGCAGGCATGCTCAAAACTGTTTGCTGTGCGCGAAATCACGGACTTGTCTCAAAATAATTCAGTTTTTCTGTTAGACAATTCTCTAACCTGAAATAAACTTCCGATTTGATAACGCTCGCTAGCGTCAAGCGTAAACATATTTATTCGTCATACTTTAAATGGTAATATCACGCATTAAGCCAGAAAACGCACACACTTAACACGCATTTAGTCATAAGAAAACGTCAAAACATAATGAGGTAAGTAGAACAGAGGCTAGTTTTTTTTACAGTCAAGAAGATAGCCAACAGAAAGTTGCACAAGTGCCAGTGAAAAAAAAACAAAAAAATATTGAGGATTTTTCAACATTCTAACAAGATGTACATCACTCTAAAGCTCTTTAAATTTAAAGAAAATTTTACGATCTATAACTTTCTCCATTAAAATTACCCAATTAGTTTCAACTGGGTCAATAGGCCAGTTTTTAATTCCGCTGGACAATCTAAAATTGAAATCGAAATGAAGCATTTTCGTGCCACCAGAACTTTGGTAGTTGGAGAGAGTAATTTGCCTTCCTATTCATAAATGAATTGAAAACAAAACCAAAAAACAAACCTCAAAAAAAAACATAGCCAACAGAAAATTGTAAAGCCAATGAACGCAAGTGAACAGAAAAAAAATAGTTAGCCTTGAAGCTCTTTGAATTTTCTATAACAAATGATGATTTGTCTTGAAGCTCTTTCAATTTCTAGAACAAATGATGGTTCACAAGAGCAAATACTGTTTTTTTTTAAAAAAAAAACAAACTACTTGCGAAATTTTGAAGAGAAAAAATACATGACCTTAAAGCTCTTTGCATTTCACTAATAACTTATGATTGACTTTTTTGTGACATAAATACAATTTGAGAAAAATGGATCAATAAGTATTTTTTTTATTTTGCTGGGAAATCTGAAAATTTAACTCCAGTTTTAAAATAGAAGTCGATCACGTTTTTCATGACGATTACAGTTTTGCTGTTCGATAGTGAAGTTTGCATTCCTTTTAACAAAGGAAATGAACTGAACTTAAAAAGAATTCAGAAAGAAGTCAAATCACGCAAAAGTACATTTGAGCCTGAAAAAATCATCGCATTCTGATTCAAAACACCAAGCAAAGCATTTTCATAATTAGTTTTCATTAATCCAAAAAATCTCACAGAGTGAGAAAGACTTATGGACTCAGATATCATCTTAAAAGGCAACAAAAAACGGCAAACGAGTCGTCGCATAGTATCATATTGAAAGTCCTTGTCGTGCATCACAACGTTCAGTAGCTCATTAGCTCTTTTATGATAGCAACTTCCTGTGTTAATAGCACAGCAACCAGCTAACTTTGTTCCGAATTGCTTTAATTACGACTTAACGTAGAGTTATCAAAATATCTGCTTTAAAACATATCCATAAGACGGTGTAAAAAACAAATGAACGCAAGAAAACTGAAAAAACTTCGATTTATTTTTTTTTTGAAAAAGCAACTTCTACCTGCGAACTTTTTTGTGACAGTAACACAATTTAAGAAAAATGGAGCAATAAGTAAATTTTAATTCCATTTTCGAAACTAGAAATCCATAACATTTTTTGTAACTTCCACAGCTTTGCTGTTCGAGTTTGCCTTCCTTTTAACAAAGGAAATGAACTTTAAAAAAACTTGAAAGAAATCAAAAATTGAACAAAAAATTTTGAAAGCAAACTTTTGCTAATGCGAAACACGCAAAAACGGCACCAGTAAAATTAAGAACGGCCAAAAAAGAATTAATACAGAAATATGACTGAAACAAACGCTCGGACACTAAAGGAGTCGAACTTGGACTTCGCTCCCAAATATATTTGCCTCTGCAACTTAATGCTTAAAGATCAGGCAGCAAAGATTCCGCTTCAAGGGATTTTGTATGACATAAAACTAAACTTTTGTCGATCTAACGCATTTTTGTCACAAAGAAACTCTTATTAAAAAAAAAAGAGCCAGCAGACAGTTGGAAAGTGTCATTGATTGCAAGAGGCCCGAGAAAAGGACTGATTGAGAAAACTTGATCAACTAGGACTTTTTATTTCCACTCAAAATCCTCGAATTAGTAAAAGTTTGCTAGGTATTGGCATCGAACCTGCGACCTCGAGATTTCGAGTCTCACGCCCTGCCTTCTCGACCTCAAACGCTTAATAATCGACAAATACTAGTCACAAATAAAGCAGCTACATATTCTAATAAATTACAAATGCAATGCAGCAAAAGTGGCAGCAAATACACATAGACACAATTTGCAAGTAATAATTTGGAAACTTAACAAACTGACGGCATCCACACTATCTTTGCATGTAATAAATTGGAAAGCGTAAAACCACATTATGTAAAAATTATGCGTTTCAAAAAATTGCGAGATATATTGAACTTCAGAAATCGAGTTTTATTATTATTGTTGAAACAAATAGCTTTTTCGGTTTTCATTTGATAAATTAACAATGCATCAACTAAGTTAACTTAATACTATTCGAATATCAAAGCATATGCAATCAAAAGCCGTGAAGGTGCCACTAAAAATGGCAGCAATATTTGGGACTTCGGTTAGAAAAAAATTGTCGTACTATTGCACTAACGCTCGTTAATGTAATTAATTGGAAACTATCCAGCGCAATTGCGTACACAGAGGAGCTTCACACCACTTGCGATACAAGACAAACATAAAAAAACAGACGTCGGAAAAAGAATGGAAAATGTTGAAAAGATGAACCTAAATTTTCATACATCTCGATAAAAGCTGGAGATACCTGTTTAATATTTCAACGGAAGTTTTTATGCAACGGAACTTTATTTCAACGGAAATAAAATCCAATTTTTTGGATTTTATGCAACGAAACTTTTATTTCAACGGAACTGAGCATGCAACGGAACTTTTTAAAAATTGGACGTTATCAAAACCTTTGTTGTTTCTCTACTTTGAAGGCTCTAAGATATGTCAGGGTAGTTTTCGACAAAAAGTTTCCAAAAAACGGTCAATAAATCAAAAACTGAGATATGGGAGGCTAGTTTTTCAGAAAAGTCAAATAGACTCAAAAAACGGTAAAAAAAAACAAAATTGAATTTAGTGTAAACATTTTTGGGCGTAGTCGATTAAGCAGGGAGCTTCTCGCAACCCGTTCTATCAATTGAACTTAAAAACTCAGATTTGGAAAGGTTGTTTTTGAGAAAACGAAAAATCCAAACATATGGGTAAAATAATCCCCCCTCAGACTTTTTTGAAGGCTGTAGACCCGTTCTATCAATTGAACTGAAAAACTCAGATTTGGGAAAGTCGTTTTTGAAAAAACGAAAAATCCAAACATATGGGTAATATAATCCCCCACAGACTTTTTTGAAGGCTGTAGACAGTGAAGTAATGTAAAAAGAGATTGTAAAATCCTAGTCCAACCTTTGTTGAAAATCGGCAAAGTGAATTTTGAGAGAAAATGGGCAAAGTCAGAGATGTGTCAACTAAGCCGACAACACTTGAGCAGACAAACGAAAGTCCGACAATTCAATTTTTACCGTACATGTTTTTAAATTGGATACAACATACTGAAAAAAAAACAAGTTCTGGCCGGGACTCGAACCCAAGACAGCGTTACCTCTAGGTCAAGTGGAAAAGAACCTGGATATTATTAAGATTCAAGGATAAAGCAATTTGAAAATGTTTAAGAAAAGTTGTTCACGGAAATACGTCTAGTTCCCGATTACAAGACACTTGCTCTCGCAATTGCAATAAAATATTAATTTAAAAAATTTCGTGAAATGAACTGAGTTGAAAAAATTCTGAAATACAAATTTGATGCTTGTACTGCTGTATGAAATAGAACTTTTTTCGGTTCATTGGATGAAATAAAACGCATCAACTGTTCTAATTTATTACTAATCGAATGTCAAAGAACATGCTATTAACATTCCAAAGCAGCCTGCTTCAAAATTACTATCAGGAAATAGCTTAGATTGGAAAAATGCCTAGAAATACACTACGCTACGCTTTTGTAATAACAAATAGGTACCTTTGCTATTTAAAAAAAAGCTGGATATCTCTGTTTTTTTTCGTTATCCCTGCCAAGTTAAGACCATTTATCCACCAGAGAAAAGACCAACATACGAGCTGTACAGCTCATCACGACGAACCGCTGTTGTCCCTGTTTAAGAACTGCATGCAGTTTTTTTGGTTGTTTTTCTAGAATGGGTGATGTTGCTTCACCCTCAAGCAACGAGCACGGATCGTGGTGGGCCTCGAATATCCGACATGACAAAATACGAGAAAAGAACTTACCGAGGCAATGGCTTTGATGTCTATTTCCTTGTTATCTGCGTCCTTGATCACAATCTTGGTTCTGGGCTTGGGGGCGGGCGGAGCTGCTGCTGTCAAACTGGGAGTGGATGCTGGAGAAGGATTGGTTGCGTTGGTATCCGACTGGGCAACTGAAGTACTAGGCAATGACGCGTCCGAGTGGTGGACTGAAGTTGTCGATGCGCCACTTGCCGATGCTGTAACGCCGGCCGTCACGTTTATGTTGCGGTTGTTGCCAGATGTTACGGCACTGTTGTATGAGTGGTGTTGATGAGTGTTGATATTTTCTTGCTGCTGTGCTGCCATGTTGGCCGATGTAGTTACCATTCCGTTGCTCTGCGGGTGTTGATAGACATGCGACATTGCGTTGGCCGCTGGTCCGTTTGGATTCGATTGCTGTTGGAACTGTCCGTACATGCCAGGGTGCATTCCACCGCTTTCCGGGTGTCCGTTGGCAGCTGCGGCCATGTGTTGCTGGTAATGGGCTACCATATTCTGCGGTAGCTGAGGTCTGTTCATGTGTCCATGCATGTTCACAGCCTGCTGCTGCTGCTGCATAAACTGCATGTGATGGGCATTCAAATTCCCTTGATGCTGCATTATCAAGCCGCCTGCAAAACGATATTGAAACTTGACAAAAAACTATTTGAAAAATTAACTTTATATCTGGCAATTCGAAACAAATTTCAGGAAGGTCCCGACAACAGATTTCAACATGTGCCAAATCCGGTTGGACTTTAGCACAATCAACAAGAGAAAAACTCACACAAAGCATTTAATCGTGAATCTAAAAAGGAAAATTTTAGAACTTACAAAATGTTTCATCAATCGATGCTTATACGCATCGACATTTATTTCACAGAAAAAGAATGAGCTTAAGCGATGTGCATGCATGCAATACAACAGCTAACTGAGGTCAGGTAAACTCAGAACATACTAAGATTTCTTAATTGGCATGAGAAAGGTGGACTCCTGTCGGATATCCAGTTTTCCGTTTTTCGAGCCTCTCGATATTCGTGTTCACACTCATTGATTTTATTTGATTGCATAAATTAATTAACTACCACAAGTAAATTAGCTAAGAGTAATTTATTACTTTTTACGCATTTGTTGTGATACAAGATATCCTTTTTCCGTTTCATATAGAGTCTACATACCTGCAGCCGCATGATGCATTGCTGGCAGTGCCTGGGCGTAGGGTGCCCGGTACATGCCCTGGGCGTGAGCATGTGCCATTTGTTGCGCTTGTTGAGCCTGTTGGGCTTGTATGACCAGGTGGTGTGGAATCATGGCCGCATGGGCCTGGTTGGTCGAGTAGACCACGTTGGGCGTGAACTGCGGATTCTGGTGATGTTGCATGAAGTGCTGCTGCTACAAAGAAACAAATTATCCCGTTTACAAAGATGCTTAAATGCGTCTCTTAATTATCAAAAAACCTGTAAACTATCAAAAATAACATGCTAAAAGCACATTTCAATATAAAGTTCAAATCAGCCCCTTTCTTAATTTAGTTTAAAAAAGAACATTCCAGTTGTTCGGATTTCTAGCCGCTCATTCGGCTGCTGGCCGTTCGTATTCTTAGCCCCAGCGTTGTAAAGCATCTTTGAAGCCCAGCGCTTGAACATTATTGCGTCTCATTACGATTTTTGTCAAAGCCTAATATCAGTCATGATTCGCACCAAATCATCGTTTCGAATTTTTCGGCGCATTCAGATCTTACTAGGCTATGAACGAATGATGAAGAGAGCAGCCTTGATCAGCGATTAATCGAACCATCTAGATGATAATCACTCATGTTCACAAAATGAATTTCGACTTACTTGATCTCTGTGGGCATTCGCTTGGGAATACATTGCAAACTGCTGGTGTGGGTGAGGTCCCTAAACAAAAAAAATAACATATACAAAACACTAAACAGCTTTAAAAATAGCCTATAAATAATTATGAAGCACACCAATAACAACAGCTTTCACTATATTTCACTGTTTTTCAACAATTCCAGTAGATTCCTGTTATGATGATGATGATGATGATGGTAGAGGGTTTTTACCTGCTGCAAGGAATAGACTCCGTTGGTTGCGTACGCATTTGCCGCACTGTTGTTGGACATCTGATTGGGTTGAGACTGTCGCTGCTGCTGAAGTTGCTGTTGGTTGTTGAACGCCTGCTGTTGTTGTTGTTGTTGTTGGTGGGGAGAAGAAAAGTTCCCCGATGCGTTGTTGTTGGGTAGAGAAGCTTGCTGCTGATTCAAAAACGGCTGAGGTTGTTGTCTCGGATGATTTCCAAGATGCATCGTTTAGTAAGAGTCGGCGGGTAAAAACCCACCTATGGGAACATGCCCCATTGTCTGAAATTGCGGTTGGCAAAGGTAATAAGCCGAATAACGAAAGCATCTATCCATATGCTTACCATGCGCTTAATCAAGATTCAATTAATTTGGGATTTAAAAATTAAAAAAAGAACAGAATTAAAAGAATAATCGAACTAAGATTTAATTTAGCTAACCAGGAAAACTGTCTATGTATTCAAATAATTTTAATGAAATGACAATTTTTCACAACCAGTTTAGGCAGGCATTATTTGGCAGTAATTAGCGCTAAAGAGTTGAATGAACTTGATCAATAATTTCTTTGACCAACTGGTTTTAATTTAATTTCTTGGACGTAATTGGCCCGCTGGTAATTAAGCCGCAGGTTCTTGCGCAGAAAACTAATACTGAAGAACAATTTGGGGCTCGACTATGGCAAGATAGTAAATGCAATTTGCTCATGGAACCACTTGGACACAGATTGCCAAAATCAAATGTAGAATGCCACGAACACAATAGAAGAATTGAACATTGGTGGTTCTAATGGTTATTACTACCACCAATTAGTCATCTCCAAATTAAACAATGCGCATATCGAATAGATCCAAGACTTGGGAAATACAAGCTGTTCAAGATTAGCACTTGGTTAGAACGACAATAAAAAGTTTCTTAATCACAGGAACTGGTTTTAAATTTCACTAAAGTATGAATTTAAATTTCAACTTCCTGTGATTAAAAAGGCGACAATGCCATTCATCCACAGAGCAAAGGAATCCAAGCATAAACGAAAAAGTTTTTTATGTGCAATGGATGCTACTACAACATATGTTTTAATGAGATCTTAACTGAATGCACTCTAAATCATATTTAAAAACCGTTGCGGTGCATAAAAATAAGTATCAACAAAAAAATGCTAGCTTTCAACTATATATCATAATTTCATTTGATGAAAAATTTGTACGACCAAATTGTGAAAAAAAAAATCAAGCATTCCTGCTGAAAGCTCTGCCAGATAGCTTAAGGGTGAGTGATCGCGAGATACTAAGGTACTCATCAAAAATTATACAAATCGTAAGAAAAAATTTACAAAACTGCAGATTAATTCAGCAAGAGTAGAATGCCGACGGTAAATTATTGTTGTAATAATTTTCCAAAAATATTTCTTAATTGGTACTACTTTACTGCATCGAGGGTAAAAACACTATCTTCTCTGATGAATTGCATCCTTTGCAGAAAGCCTTTAAAAATGGAAGGGTATACTATGGTTTCAAGAGCTGGAAGAAAAGTTTTGAAAGGAAATTAAGCTAAAACGTGAAAACCCATGCCCTACCAGTAATGCCACTGATCAGCAGTTCAAAACAAAATACTTCAACAAGAGTAGAAGGTTTACATGCAAGTAGTAGGCAAATTGAAGAACAAGTTTTGTATAAAAATTACTAGAAAAACAACAAATCAAAAAAAAGTCAGACAGCTTGCTGAAATGTTCTGAATTTTTAAAGTTTTGATTCCCAAAATGCGTTAAAAACTCCAATTTTTTTTAGCAGAGTGAAAAATAAACTTAGGACCGAAAAATGTATTGTAATGGGCTCAAATTAAGCATCAAAAAGCATGCTCGCTCGCTTTCCTTGTTCGAAATTAGACCACAAATCAAAAAAAAACTTTAACCGTGTTTTCTTGAAACTGAAAAAATTTCAAGGTCGTTCGAATCACGACTGAAAAAGCTTCAATATGATATGTCACTCGAACCGTTCCGATGATTTTTTGTGGTACCTAATTTTTCGTGGAAAACAAAAAAGAAAACACGGATATCCGGTTAATGTGCAAGCAGCATAAAATGTTCCGACCAATAGTCTTAAAAAATACAATAAAAGTGTATTCAAATTAATATCGTTTTTTTTTCTGCGTGGTGTGATAAAAATTTCAAAACCAAAAATAGAACTTAGGCAAATTCGACAACCACAGTAATATATACCCATGGAAAACAGTTTTTATCGAACAGTTAAAAAAACGAAAAAATCGACACAGAGGCGAAGCTTGCGATACAACACAAAAAAACGTAAGTCTTAAAAAATCTTTTGAAAAAAACTAGGTGAGCCAGGACTTTTTTGGGTCTTCATAAACAAAATTTAGGGGCCCAGCTAAAGCTGGATGTACATGTTTGATGATGAATGAAATTGCTATACTGACGCGGCACGGAAAATGATTTCAAATATTCGACTTTGTCCAAAACCTTAGTTGTTTCTCTACTAAAATAAGTGGAAAAAGTAAGAACCTATAAAACGATCAAAAAATAAGGAGTCGCCGCTTCTGTGAAAAACAATTATCGCAACCGGTTCTTTCAACTGAATTTTTCATCTCAGATTTGTTTGAAAGAATTTGAAAAAAAAAATTCAAGAAGGTCCTATATAAACTGGTCAAAAGATCTGAAAAACGGATAAAAACTTTCAAATATCCATAACCTTTTTCTCCTGAAACCTGGATTCTCGATTGAACACAACCTGAGAATTGACACGGTAGTTGAAAAGTTTCCTAAAAGTTGAAAATTTTCCAAAAGCGTAAGCTTGAAAATTTTCCAAAAAAACTTTGACTGTTTGAAGCCCATAACTTTTTTTATAGAAACTGGGCAAAGTCAATTGTAAGAGTGGCCTTTCAGTAACATGTAGCCGATTAAACCCATGATATCAGATTTGACAGTTAGCAAAAAAAGTCCAAAAAACGGTCAACAAATCAAAAATTTGACATTTCCGATAATCATAGCTTTTTGTGTAAAAAAAATATGAGCGGCTTATTTGCCACTTATGCAGAAAAGATTCACGCAACCTAAAATTTTGATTGGACCCAAAATCTCAGATTTGGGAGGTTAGTTTGAGAAAAGTCAAAAACTTTTGACTTTTTCGAGGGCCATTACTTTTGGTGTCAGAAAAATTTGGGCGTAGTCGCATAAAGAAATGAGCTTCTCGCAACCCGTTTTATGAATTGAACTCAAGTCTCATATATGGCAAATTAATTTTCGGGAAAATTCGAAAAGTTTAAATAACGGTTTTGAAAAAAAATCGACTTTTCCGAGGGCGATAACTTTCTATGTAAAATGCCGGGCCGCTAATGCAGGGGAGCTTCTCACTACCCATTATCTCCATTCAACCGGCAATATCAAAATTGAGAAGTTAGTTTGCGAGAAAAGTCAAAAAAAGGTTCACACAACGATCACATATTGAGAATTTCGAGAGCCATAACTTGGCCATTAAAAAAAATTGGGCGTAACCGTTTCTGCAGAGAGCTTTCTAAAACCGTTCAATTCATGGAAACCAAAAAACGAAATAAAAAATTAAAAATATGTGTCAAATACTGCCCCACCGATTTTTTCGAAGGCTGTAGACAAAGTGGTCAAGTGAAAAGAGAATTTAGGGGAGTATGTAGGCACATAGGAGAATAGGCGGTCTTTTAAAGTTAACACCTTCTTCAAAATCAGTGAAAGTTAGAGAAAAGTAAAATTTTTCCAATAAATTTGGAAATAATTTTCCATAGCGAAAAGATATTTCAACAAACCGATTGGTAAACCTACCATCAACTTGAAGAGTGCGGAGGGGAGTTTTTGATATGTTTTTCTCTTCAGGCCAAAATCAGGTCATTAACCCGATAAAAAATGGGCCGAAACAATTTGGGCGAAAGTTGGAGAGGAAGTTTTTTACCGAAACAAAAAACAAAGGAAATACGAGGTCAACGTTATAAAATTACAAGTTGCAGGAGTAAATCAAACACTAAAAGTCAACATTAGAAAAACAAGCACATCAAAAAACTATTCTAAGATGTGACAACTAAGCTGAAAACATGAACCCAAATAATCGGCCGACAATTTTATTTGAATTAGAATATTTCCCCGTTGAAAAAAAAACAACTTCTGGCCACATTCGAACCCATAAATCAATGAACCCATTTTCAAAAAAATTTTGCCGACCTTTTTTTTAGGACGACCAAATTGATTTTCTGAGCTCTCCCAAATCACTATAAAGACCCCATGTTGACAACATTCTGCGCCGCAGGTAAATTTTTGGAAAATGTTGACTAAAAAATCGCACTTTTTTGACGCGCGCTCCCCCCTCAAAATAAGTATATATTGGCGCCACAGGCGCCTTTAGAAACATTTAGGGTCCGTCACCAAAAATGGATATCACAAAATAGTACAAAGGGGGACCATTTGGGTCAAATTCTTGAGGGGGATAGTCAGCCCCCTAAATCCGCTGGTAATTGGTAGTTTTCCATTGGCGCATCGTAAGCCTGTTATACACAAACGAATGACTAAAAAAAATTTGAAAAATTATTTCATGCCGGGATGCAAGAAAAACAAATTAAACGGTCTAAAACTAGCAGTTTACGGACATTTAATGCGTATCCGCACGCACAAGTTATTCAAAGTTTGGCTATAATCTTTCCAATTTATTTTTTTTCCTTTTAATTGAAACTTTGAAACAATCTAAAAAGCTGATTTCGGCTATTCAAAAAGATTTAAAAAATCATCGAAGAAGAAATAATTTCTAGTTAACACAAAAATCATATTAAGCAAATATGCTTAAACAGAATGAATAGCAACTCGGCGAGGACAGCGAACGAATCTATCTGCATTGCCGGGTGCTATCCTTAACTCAGACATTTGAACGAACTTAATCATAACAGAAGTATGGGAATGAAAGGAACAAATATCAAAAACTTGCCGAAGGCGAAAACGAAAGAAGCGACAAACAAAATCCACTTTTTAGTTTAAAAAATGTCGCACAAAAAACCTGACAATTTAATAAGTACGTATAACAATTCACTGACGATACACACAATGAAATTAGCCGACTCATGGTACAAACTTGACATAATTGACAATTGTAAAAAAAAATCAGAATTTGTGTATAATCGTCAGTAAATCGCTAGTCGTAGCCCCCCCCCATATTGGGTTCAAATACGAAACTTGAGCTTGTTCACTTAGCGGTTAATGCCTCAACCAGCTCACTGTTATCAACGCAAGCTTGAATGTAGACAATATAGTGGAAACAGCACATAAGTTCCAGAAAATAATCGAGAATTTTTAAAAAAATAATATTACAACTATCAAGTATCATGGAACAATTTACATTATCATAGCTCTACTTAAATTTGAAAAAAATTTGACGATTCAAACTTTCGACCCGAGTGTGCAGAAAGCTTGAAAATGATATTTATCAGATTTTGAAAAACCAAACAACTGAAATAATATATAAAACTTGGATAAGAACCGGCTCGCAGTGCTGATTCAAATTATCCGGATAAACGAAAAAATAAAAATGAAATTTAAAACAGGTTTTTCTCAAATTGGATTGAGTTAAGTTGAAAAATGACGAGGACAAAACTTGCTAATAATTACAGCAGAAATAATATGATGCATTTTGCGTTGAGAAATTTGGGTCCAATATTTTAGTCTAAAAATGGATCATTTTTGGCTTTTTTAGTCAATCAAAATTTACAACAAAACTACCTGGTCGATTACTGACATAATTATATCTACATGAGCCTCTTACTTAGTTCAAAAAACGTTCAGAAAAACTTAACCTCCAAAAATTATATTAATTAACGTCTTTTTGTTTGATAGACAAAAAAAAGGTCGTTTTCACTATGTAAAACATCATTTTTGTAATTGAAAACATTTTAAAAAGGTTCTCGCATTCTTTGAAGAACATTTATTTTTAAAATTTGTTGAGCTACATATGTGGCTCACGTTGATATAAGTTTGTCAGTGATCGACCACGTGGTTTTGGCGTACTTTTTGATTGAATAAAAAAAGCCAAAATTGATCCGTTTTTGGACTAAAACATTGGGCCCGAATTTTGCAAAACAAAATCCATCACTCTTATTCTACTGAAACTCTAAGCAAGTTTTTTCTTCATAATTTTTCACTAAAACTCAGCACTATTTGACAAATACGCGTTTTATTTTTCGAGTTTAGTGCGTTTTGTCCGGATACGTTAAATCAGCACGAAATCCTATTGCAAAAAAGTAACACGAGATATGGTGAAGTGAAAAATCGAAAAAACCTAATTTTTGGTTCTTCAGAAGCAGTAAACGCTGTCAAAATAGACGACCTGAAAACAAAAAAAACGCATGCTGAAACACTAAGTCAATACTCAATACACCGGAAAAGGTTTAGGAACTGTTGAGGCTAGTATTTAGTGATACTAACTGATACCAAGAAAGTTCACAGATTTTCAAAGATGCTTGAATTGGGAAAGGTCAGGTCAATTTCAAGTGATTGCGAAAAATTTGACGACAAAACAATTTAGTGACTGTTTATCAGAGCCCTTTTCGCAATTTTCACGTAATCAGAAGTTTCAATTTTCAAAAAATAAGTGTTTAGAAACAGTAAAACATAAGGTGTACTTGTAACTCAGTAAAAGGAGATGTATGAGAGCCTTTTTTGTAAGACTAACCTAAATTGTATAATTGTATTTTCGTTTTGTGAGCCTCAACAAAGCACAATACATAAGAAAGACAAGAAAAAATTGAAATAACTTGAAATATTTTTTTTCACTGGAAAAACATATCCAAACACATAGGCAAAGCATTGCAATCTAACGAATAGAAAATGAGACTGAAATAAATGAATTAACGACAATTGAAAACTTTTTCAAAAAAAAAAACGAAAAAGTTGACGACTTGACTCTTTTTTTTTCAAAAAAAATGTAGTTGTTTCTTTATTTATATATTTCCGTCGCATTCTCTATTCACTAGCTTTAAATCAGGTAAAAAAAAATTTTAAAAAACGTTGTTTTTGAACTTGAACACCACAACCGAAAACAAAACATAAGACGTAACCACTTAGGCCGGATAAACCTTTTACTATGCAAAAACAAAAAATAGAAAATACGAAAAGTCACGGCTAGTAAATTTTAAAAAGACTGTAGTAAATCAACAGCAATTGCAACTAAAAGAAGAATTTCCTTACAGTGCAATAAAATCCGTGATGTGGAAACTAAGCCGACAAAACATCAGGAGAAAAACGAAAGTCCGACAAGTTCAATATCTCCCTTCAAAATTTCAATTTCATGCACGCTGAAACAAATAAATAGCCAACAGAAGATTGAAGGTGTAAAAGAACAAGGAAACCGAATAAAAAAATTATTCGAACTTCAAAGGAAAAATATATCAGGTTCAAGCTCTTACCAACTCGGTCACGGCTGCTCGAAAAAAAACAAGACATTTGCTCTCGTATTAGTAAAGACCAAAACGCAGGTAACGATCAAAAATAGCGTTACAGAGTCAATTCGCTTTCAAAGTTTTAAGTTCAATTGAGAATCTGAAACACCAAACCAGCGAGTATAAGGAATCATATAATAATCCAAGTAACTTGAAGACTATCAAAACTTAGTTCCCATCATGAGCGGAAAGCTGCTGCAGCAGTTAAGGCTAAGCTAGCCGGTGTCCAGGGTTGGCAGAGCTCAGAGGGCATTAGTGCAACAACCATTAAGGTCTTCAAGGCTGTAAGCGACTATTCACCTAAAGCTTCGACAGAAAACCGGTCAAAACAGAGACGGCTTTTGCGCAACCCTGCTTGCGTTTTTGTACTTCAGTTAATTTGACACTTTCTAGTTGAAGGAGCGGCTTTTTTGCCAATAGAAAATCGCCTCTAATCCTATCATTAAGGAAGATGCGACCGCCTTCGGCTGAGCAGGCAAGAGTGTGGTTCCCATAAACGTGTAAGCGTTTTAGCACTTAGTGAACTGAAACTAAGGAGTGGTATACCAAGACGGTAGTTCAGACACACCCTGCACTCAAATGGGCCAAAGTAGGTCTGAGTGATTTGACGCGAGTATATTCAACCAGTCCCTGAATGAGTCGGGGATAGCTTCAATGAACGTAGAAAAGACGAGAGTCAGCTAGTTTTATAAGGGTTTTGGAAGCGAGATTATAAGGAGCAGCGCACCAAGAAGTGTCTATGCGCTGACTGTCCAAACCTTATCAACTGAACTTGAAAAAAAATCCGAAAAATCTAGGCTACTAAGACAAAATTTCTATCAGATGGGGATTTGGTGTCCATATAGACTAACACAATGGAACAGGTGAGCGATAAGAAGCAAAGGAGAGACCGAGCCTACCCTAAGAGACGGAGAGGAAGGATTGGAGACGCTTTAACGCCAAAACCGCAGAACTAGTGATGGATTCGATAGAGGTATGTACTGTTTTGTCGAACCCTTATAGAACTTTCGATAAATTGAATTTTACGCAGCGATCTGCACTTAGTTAATTCTAAATTACAAAAGAGGCCCTTCTGTTTAGTTACGGTAAGTGCAAAAGCTGGATAGGGCCTGATGCAAAAGCTGGATACAACTAAAATAAGCTTCGCGCTCCTGAGGAGCTCTAAGCTTTGTATAAGGGGGTGCAGATCGCTGCGCTAAGTTCAATTTATCTACAACTCCATTAGCGCAATTGTGGAGGAAGGACGGCTAAGATAAATTAACATTACGACGATGCATTTAATGCTGATTTATGACTTCATTGATAAAATGATACGGTTTGCTGATATATATGCATTTTTATAACGCTGGTATGGGTCAACTAAAATGAACCCTTCCGTCATGCGACGGTCCGTGCACAGGTTGGCCATACGAACGCTACATAAATACATCGACAAAAATTTATGAATAAATCAAGTCTATTTTAAAGCATCCAGAGAATTGTCAATAAAAATCTACCCGCCTCGATTATAGCACTGATAGAATTGTCTGTTGTTTGTATTTTTAAGTTTTTTGCACCCTCTGAGGCAGAGGATTGCACTCCTCAAAATCTTATCACGAAGATATTTGATAATTCTAGCAAGTAAATATAGATCTAATGAAGACTACATATAATCGGAACAGCGTTAATGAATTCAAAAACTGAATTTTGTTAGAATTTTCACACCTTCGATATTCATTGAATAACTAGAACAGTAATAGTAAAATAAGACTTAATTTAATTTAGGATCCAACAAAAACTTAGTAAAACGCTTTTTTATCGGTTAAATTCAATTAGGGGTTGCGTTTTGTATCATAAGATAAAAAACAATACAAATCCAAACTATTAGAAGTTTTTTTAAAAAAAACCAACGCATAGTAAAGAATATCACTGATGATCCGTGGGTGTTAAATATTGAGAAAGACTTCAATAAATAGCTGATGATCTGAAAAAGACACACCGCATAAGTGTACAACTTTACAATATAATGGGGTTAACAAGCAGTCAACCGTGCAGTTAGGTACAGTTCTGCAATCCTAAATTAGAAACTTTTCTATCCGAAGTGATAAAATGGATATCAACGATAAAAGAATTTCACAATTGGTTTCTTGAAAGCAACTACTGCTCATATCGCTATTATTTCAGCTATATGACCCACTCCCTCTACATTGAATTCAGAACAATTGAGAACGTCAAAAATTCAAATGTTTGAAGAGAGAAAAGTCAAATTGAAAGCGCCGGATCAGATCTTTTTTAATCGCTCCATTAAGCTGGCTAATGAAACGGCGAAGAAATAAAAAACAAAAACTCTTGGCAATAAACTATGCTTTAAAGGAACCTGAAAAAATTTTCTGGAGTTATTTTGGTTCATGTTGTGATAGAAAACCATTTAACAATTTCATTATATGCTGTTCAATCCAAGTTTACTAAATACATGAAAACATCATTTTAATTATGACATACTTACATGACAGGTCATTCATTCCTACTTTCTTCTTTCATTAAGCGAGAGAAACATACCACTATGCCCGAAACTATCTGCACCCAAAAATTCAAATGACAACT